GTGAGTTCTAAAAACATCAACAGGTGTTCTACAAGTTTGCACAGTACTAAGTTTTTTCAGTGAGTGATAAACTCTGGACTTGTTAGCAGATAGCATATGAGAACTATCTCTAAACGACAAGTACTGTGCTGCCGTAAGTGATAAACTCTGAGCTTGTTGGCAAGTAGCGTATAAGAACTACCTCTAAATGACAAGTGCAGTTCTTCTTATGCCTTTTCCCCATGTCTTACATTTTTCTTGCAGTACGTTAATTAAAAAGTTTTTTGGAAAAATATGGTCCAGATGATCGTTGGAAAGAGTGATAGTATATTCTAAAAATTATATACAATTTGAATAGCTTTTTATTAATATATTTTTGTATTTTAAATTTAAATTTAAAATACAAAACCAAATTAATAAAAAGTTATTCAAATTATATGGAACTTTTAATATATATATATTTTATATAAGTGGATTTAATATATAATGATTATTTAAAATATAATATACTATATTATTACTAGTATTATAAAACAAAATAATAATTTTGGCCCATAGTTTTATATTTATTTTCTTTTTTAGTTTAGCCTGCAATTAGCCTACATTTCCAAAATAGGAGTTGTCTAAAGCTATATACTTACATGATCAATTATGTAGATTAATATCACAATGTGATTATTGAAAATTCAAATTATTTTATAATTTTTAGCAACAATATTTCTGCAGCCATCTAATGAAATTTAATTTATTTTTTTATTTTAATTCTACAGATATATAGAATTAAAATAAAAAAAACTCATTGAATTTTGTTGAATAGTTGCAGAGATATTTTTGCTCAAAATTTTTTAAAAAATTCAAATGCCTATTAAAATTATAGCTGTGGCAAACTTTTTCAAATCTTTGAGTAAAGATATTTTGATAACTACCTAATAATATTTAAATTTTTTTTTTGATTCTACAGATATATAAAATTAAAATAAAAAAAATTCATTAAATTTTGTTAAGTAGTTGTCAAAATATCTTTACTTAAAGTTTTAAAAAATTTTGCCACAACTAGAGTTGGTAAAGTTCCTAGGTCAGAACCTAGAAACCTAGTTTTTGAAACCTAGTTTTTAAAAACCAGGTTCCAATTTTAAAACCTAAGTTTTTAGATTTATAATAGGTTTTTAGGTTTTTTAGAATCGAATAGGTTTTTAGGTTTTTTAGATTCAAATAGGTTTTTGGATTTATAATAGGTTTTTAGGTTCATAGTAGATCTTTAATTCATAGTAGTTATAATAAGTTTTATATTACATATACACCTTTCTGTAATTGCTTGCATATTTTCATATTGCTTTTGCATGTTCATGTATGATATCAGATCTTTTTATTTGGTATATACCTATATATATATATATATAGACTATTAGCTACTATATATGTATACAATACATATCAATATTAAAATATTGTTTTACAATAAACTAATACAAATATAGAAGCGAGTATTAAATAATACTATATATATTAGATTTTATATTATTGTTATATATTAATATATAGTGTTATAAATAGAGCGAGATAAGGGTGTAGTGACATAGCGTAGTGGGAGTTGTCATACCTCCAAGTTTGTTGGCTATAGTACTAAGTTCAAATCCTACTGGCGACGTTTCGAATAATCTACTTGTGCTATAGTAACAGCTTATTTTAAATTGGGCTAGATTCATATATCTGTAAACCAGGGCACACCAACGCCCCGAGTTGGCGCTGAGAGACATGGATATATTTGTGTCATTGCACAAAGAAATGCAAACTAGTATAGGTAGTGCAAATCCATAATAAGGCGTTCTGATCGATCTTATTAAGACCTACTTATAGTAGCCTAAGAGAACTGAAACCGGCTTAAAAAATCCTGATTAAGGAAATAGCAGACTGTTCTGACCAGGTGTTACTTGGACTACAAGACAGATCCGACTGGACCCCAAAAATTGAAGAAGTTGTGCGACAAAGATCTTATAGGCAAGAGAGATCTACCAACCAGGCTGCCGGTCATTCGAAGGAAAAAGTCACATGTTATGAAATTGTGAACCAAGGATCAAGAGACCTTCAGACTTGAGCCTGGGAAACTCAGATTTGGGCAGACCAATCCTTCTAGGCCATCTGGATTGGGAGAACAACGATACCAAAAGGAGTAAAGTGTAGAAAGTGATAGAATATAGTATAGAGGTTTGTGAACCTTAAAAGGTGGAGTAGGTAATGGTAGGGGTTTAAGGTTATCCCTGACTCCAAGTACATAAATTAAGGCATGGCGTAAGTTACTGAAGTCTAGGTGAATACATATATAGGAATGTATCACTCTGGTGGGTTTTACCTTGAGGATAAATCAGGACATTTGGTCCTGTCCTAAGTCTGGCTGTTAATCTAGTAGTGTTGCATAGATCCATGATGCCCTGGTATGCACATGGTGAGGTTACACCCAGGTCTTAAGTCCCACATGGTAGAAGTAAGGATATGATCAGAGGGTTTAAATGGGTACTCCCCTAGTTGGGATGCAGGTACAGCAGATAGTGTAGAACCTTCGGGCGGACTACTTAAATTAGGCACTCAAAAGGTGCACATGTAGCTATTTGTACTCTCATTGTATACTGAAATAAAACTTAATGATAATAAATCGCCATTGACAAAGAGGTCACCTTTAATACTGAAAAAAAATAAATAAATAAATAGAGTGAGATAATAAGGTTAGCTTATTTCTAAAGTGTAATAGTGAAAGTATTTGGCTATTTTGCATATTCTATTTTTTTAGCTTTTGGCATATATACTAATGATAAAATTCATATAATTTATATTGGTAAACTTTCTTGTTCTCTATTTACAGAAATTTACAAAATATAAAAAATCTATACCAATACGATTAGATATGTGAGCTTTGTAATACTCACATTTATTCTTTGTTAAAAGAAACTAATTCTTTTATTAATTATAATTATCTTGGCAATTATTTAATATTCAATTGTTTTACTTATTTTTTGAATATAAACAAGGCATTTACAAGTTGAATCAATGAGTATACTAGGAAACAAGTTTTCTAATATATATTTATTAGTTTGCTATAGATTTACCAAATACTTGTAGCATATCAGAAGGTAGATTGATATCAGTAACATAATAGCACAATATCAGGATACTTTGATATCCTACTCTTAGCACTCTGGGCCCAAAAATAAGATATTAGAGTATTATAATAGTTTGCTGTTATATTTAATATTAATCTATCTCCTAATATCTTACTACTATGCTGCCAATATTCTGCTGATATTTAGCAGGTATTTGGCAGATCTATAACAGACTAACAAGTACATATTGGAAAAATTTTCTCATAGCATATATCTGATATTCATTGATTCAACCTGTTATTATTATAATAAATCAATTCTTAGGCATATAGTACAATTGTTTTTCAATTATAACTCATATTTGTATATATGGTTAGACTTTTGTAAATACACAATATAGAAATTAAAATTTTAAAATACCATATAGTTCCGAAATTAAGCACAACCCCTCTACCCCAATTTTTGAATCTCAGATTAGTGGAATTTGTAATAAGATCTTTGGCCAAATTACTCCCGCTAATCTGAGATTCAAAAAATTGGGGTAGAGAGGTGGTGCTTAATTTTGGAACTATACGGTACATGCATTTAAAGAACAATAAGCTATATGTTTATAATGATCAAGAATATGTTTAGTCCAAATTTTAAAAGCATGTTTAAAGAGATTGTGTACTTAATAAAAGTGCAATTAGAGAGGTTTCATATATATATATATTATAAAGATCAAGTTGAGAACAACTCAATACTATATCATTAAATATGAATTCTGAACAAGATTCTGATTATGGTTATGAAGATGATTATAGTTATGATAATAATTCTTTATACAATGAACCGCTATCTTCAACATTAGAAATAAACACTAGTTCATCATTTTCAGTATTAGAGATAAATTCAAGTTCACCAATGTTAATATTAGAACCAAATATTTCAACATTAGAAACTAATACCACATCACCTTCAGCACAAGATACAGATATAATTTTATTAAACAAGATATCACCTTTGTGGCAGCATTTTTTTTTTTTACCGTAAAAAACCAAGTAATCTAGTTTGCTTTAAATGTAAACTTGAATTCTCAAAAAAATCTGAAAATTCGACTTTGGAAGGTCATTTAAAAAGCCAATATAATATTATAATTTCACGAATAAAAACTTAATCAAAACTAGCATTTGCTCATAATGATCCATGGCCTGAAAAGCAAAAAAAAACATGATATAGCTTTAATTAGTTAGATTATTTTATACTAGCAGTTATTTCGTGTTGTTGAAAATAAAAAATTTATTAAAATGATAGATATCTTAGATCCAAGTTCCTAATTGTCATCAAGTTAAAGATATGATTATAAGCTATTTTAATGAACAAAGAACTAAAATAACTAATGTTTTATCTGAAATTTCAGAAAAAGTTTCTTTAACAGCAGATATGTAGTCATTTATAAATAACCGAGCATTTCTTGAGATTACTATTTACTATATCAATCAAGATTGGAAATTTCATCGATTTCTATTAGACATTATTTTCTTTACTAAACATCATACAGGAATAAATATAGCAACTGCAATTAATAATCTTCTTGTAGAATTTAAACTTACAGATAAGGTATTAGCTTTTACTACTGATAATGCATCGGCAATATTAGTTTGTAGAAAAACCTTAGCAGATAGTTTATATAGAGAATTAAATAATCAGAGCTTTTGCTATTATAGATATACTACACATATTTTAAATTTAGCAGCACATTATGGGTTAGAGATCATTAAGCAAGAAATTGCTAGTGTTCGATTATTAATATTAAAATTAAATTATCAATAAATTTATATGATGAATTACAAGATTTGTATAGTATGCAAAAGCTAGATTATTTAAGACCAGAACTAGATATTGAAACAAGATGGAATAGCACATATTATATGTTGAAAAAAATGTTTAAAATGCAAACAGCTTTACGAATATTAGCTATTAAATATTTTGACATTCAAGAATTAATGCCTATAACAGAAACATGAGAGAAAATTAAGATAAAAATATAGTAGTATTTTTAAAAATTATTTATTGCTTATGTGATATATTACCACTTCTTTAAAAGTTTTTGTGCTGTTACGATTATTAGCAGTGTTAGAACCAATTACTTTAATTAAAAAATTAGAGATTAAGTGATTCTCAAAACTAAGAATCTATATAAGTACTCTATTTGTTCAAATTTATTTTTTTTATATATATATGTATCTAACAATTTTTTATAAAAAAAAACAAATTTAGCAAGAAAGTTTAATAAGATCTAGATTTTTTATACTTAATAAAATAAAGTATTCTTATTTTTATAATTGAAAATTTTGAATTTAATTGTTTTTTTTTTTTGTATTACTAATTTTCCTTCTTATCGCTTCTTTGACTCCTAAAACTATTCTTTTAAAAATCGCATGTTCAAATTTTCTAATTAACTATATAGCATATATATTGCTTAGAGTTAAATAGCTATTATAAGTTCAAATCAGAAACCTTAAAATAAATTTTTACTATCATCCTAATAGGATTGTATAGATATATAGTAAATAATTGTAGCTAAAAGCTACATATTTATAAGTTATTATATAGTAAATAAAAAATATTAGTACGGTGATATGAGCATATATTAGTAATTAGATCAAATATCTGCCAGGGATATATGAGCCGTGACTACAGTCCATATATCTTTGACAGATATTTGGTGTAATTACTAATATATATTCATACTATCATATCAATTTTTTATCTATTTATACAATAATAGTATTATCATCCAGCTGTTGTTATAATTGCTGCACCAAATTTTGATTATATAGTATTGGGCTTTAAAATTCTTATTAGACAGAGAAGATTATTATCGGTTCGGTCTAATAAGAATTTTAAAACTAACAAGCAAAATTTTGATATAGCAGTAACAATATTGCTATACAATAATATTCAATACTAATGTAATAACTACATTATTGTCCTATATAAATTTTCAAAATGAAAAACTAATCTTTATTTATTTCTTTTATCTTTTATATTCTATTACATCATTTATATTATTTAATTAACTACTTTATACTTTTTTATACTTTTTTATTTAATTTATCTTTCTACGATCTATTTTATTATAGTATATATATTATATAAAGTACTTGTTTTGAATTTTATTTATTTATTTATTTTTATTTTTTATTTTTTTTTTGGTGCTAAGGTGACCTTCTTTGACCTGGGGACTTTTTATTAGAGTATAAATGAAGTTTTATAATGTAGTTACAATGATGGTATATCAAACCACACGTGTATCTTTTAAGTACCTAATTTAAGTAGTCTGCCTGAAAGTTTTACACTATCTGCTATATCTGCACCCCAACTAGGGAGATACCCATTTAAACTATCTGATTCTAACTACTTCTGTCAGCCCTCTAACCCCAGGTGTTCCTCACTATATATACATGGATTTTGGATTTACCCGTTGTGAATTTCACACCCTACCTTAGGATTTACTAACCACAATTTGGATTTGTCAATCTCTATCATTAAGACTTACTAACCATATATAGCTAATCTATCCTCAAAGGTATATCTAACAGAGTGGTACATGTCCTATACATGTATTCATCTGCATGTTCCTATAACTTTTTTCTAATTAGTACATATTGACCTGCCGTTCCATATTAGTATCTCACACTACCTTTTGGAGTGCTGTCTTTCTACAGACGTTTCTCAAACACCAACCTTCCTAACTAGGCGCCTATTATATACTTCTTGCCCTTATTCAGTTCACAACAACCTCAGTACCCGCATTTGGACCATCTCCTTACCCGGATTCTTTATCGGTCCCTCCTTTACTTTCAGCTAGCAACCCGGATGGGTTGGTCTGCTCAGGCTTTAGATGCCTGAAGGATGCCCTCCCTTTGGTTCATACTTTCAGAGTGTATGCCCTTTTCCTCTAGTGCGACAACCTGGCAGTTTAGCTGGTGTGTTTTTTTGCCAGCAGATCTGGTTGCTCAGTTCTCCAATCTCAGGCCCAGTTCAAATTCAGCTCTTCTATAGTACCGTCAAAGATCACTACTACTTCCAAATTTGGGACTTGCCAAATGAGTTTTTAGTTATGCTGATTCCTCAGATTTATTGCGCCAAAGCTCCTATTACTAGATAGTGTGACCAAAGTTACAGATTTTTCTTAGATCCAACCAATAAGTATAGCTATCAACTGAACACAGACCTATTTTTCAAATATCATCGCCAGTAGGATTTAAACTCTAGACCTGCCACTTGGAGAGAGTGATGACTAGACCACTATACTAAGTCGCTACACCTCTGAATTTTATTTTCTATTGTAATCATTTACTTTAATAACTATTATTTTTTATCTATATAGAGAATTCTCATTGCATAACAGTTCTTAAACAAATGCAAGAGCTTTTCTAGAGCTGTGATATATATTTTACCAAGTCTTGTTCAACAATAAAACTCTAACTATCTTAATACACTATAATAACATGTTAGATAACTAATATAGTTCAAATATTTTAATTTAGGAAATACTTATCTTAATGAAACCACTAGAAAAGGCCACAAAATTATTATCTGTATCTTTATACCTGACTATTGCAAATGTTCGATTCGTATTTAGTAACATCCAAGTATATTTTCAAAGTTATATAGATGACGATAATTTTAGTCAATATCTTCTGGCCTCATCAATTAGCAAAAAAATTAAGGAATATAAAACTATAATCGATAATAAGACGACTATTACAACAATTCTAAACCCACAATCTAAACTTTCATTGTTTGAGATAGGAGCCCGAGCCACTGAAGCAATTAATAAAATCAGAGAAGTATTTAATCAATATGTTATTACATCAAATAAATTAACAAATGTTTCACCTAACAGAGTAAAGGATAATATTATTACAACATGTAATTACTTTCATAAACTTAAATGATATCATAATAAATCAATTTCTAAAATAAATCAGAAAGCTATAGATGAATTAGAACAATACTTAGCCTTGCCTTGTGATGAGAATATTGCTATCCTGTTGTAGTGGCAGGTGCATGTAAAAGAGTTTTCAACATTAGCTTGTATAGCTAAAGATTACTTGTTGATTCAAGCAACCAGTATCGCTTGCAAATAAGCTTTCTCAGCAGTAGCCAACACTATGTTATAATCTCAAAACAGGCTTGATCCGGAAACCTCAAGAGCATTATTGTGTACTAAAAGTTGGATTGAGAATAAGGTGGTTGTAGAAAAAATGATTAGCATTTAATTTAAAATTTAATATTGATATGAAAAAAAAAAATAAATTAATTTATAATGTCTTGAATTAAGAATAAACATAGCGATAGATTTTTTTTTTAGAGGGTAATTTAAAGTTTCATTTACCCCTTTTTTTCCCTATATATTATTGGATCACATGAAAAATTAGGCATATAACAATTTTTTTATTTTAATATTGATTTATTATACATATAAATAAACAATATAAAATAACTATATAGAGTACAATTGAATTAGTATTAGTCGAATAAATTTTTATTAGATTTTATTCGTATGAATATTTAAATAATCTATTTACTTATTCTATAGTCTTGAACTCTGTTTTATCGATTTATAACCCAAATCACTATGTTCAAATTACATACAGTGAGACCTTTTTAAACACAGCCTCTTTAAGTACATAACCTCTTCGAATGCACTCTCAAAGTTAATACTACAATCTGGTATTTATTATAGTATAAATCTGGATTGAAGTATTAACTCTACACTCAACTTCTGGCCAAGAGGGTCTAACTATACTTTAATTATCATTATAATGGAGATTTGGTAAATATGCTAAAGGTTGTTTAAAGGCAAAGCTTTAGCCAATCTAAAAAAAGTCATTCTATAAATTTCTGGAACTTAACCTGAACCGAACCAGGTTCCAAAACTAAGTTTTGAAACTTAACCCAAACCAAACCAGGTTCTAGATCTAGGTTCTGGAACTTAACCCAAACCAAACCAGGTTCCAGATCTAAGTTTTGAAACCTAATCTGAACTAAACCAGGGTCTAGAACTTGGTTCCAGAACTTAACTCGAACTAAACCAGGTTTCAGAACTAGGTTCTAGAACTTAAACTGAACCGAACTAGGTTTTGAACTTAGCTCAAACCAACCCAGGTTTGAAATCTAGATTTTAAAAACCAAG